TCTGGCTGGTGCTGGACACATTCTTCAATGGAAGTACCCGCTGCACAACCGAAAACTCGCTCTCTAACTGCCTGGTTATGGATACACACCAGCCCCACAACCGAAAACTCGCTCTCTAACTGCCTGGTTATGGATACGCCGACACCAGCCCACGCTAGTTGTGGACAGCGATGGTCGAACACCTGAAGACGTCTCAGTTTCGCTGCTCGAACAGACCAAGTCTCATAGCCACACATCAAAACGGCCCTCACTGCAGCTTGATACACACGTACCTTGAGATTCAGGGATAAACCACACTGACGTCATACGTATCTGAAATAAGTAAACGCGACCCGAGCCTTGCAGATTCGTGCATTTACTTCATCTTTCAGAACTAATACAACTTCAAAGGTACGTAAAACCCTCGACAATTTCCAGTACCTCTTCCTGGATTGTACGTGGCGTGTTCAGTGACTGCATGTCCACGAGCATGAACCTACACCGCAAAGTGCATACCAAAGGACGAGATGACTTTGGTCAGTTCTACCAAAAACACAAGCGCCTTCTTCTCTTAGAAGATGAGAACGATGTCGTCTGCATATTCCAGATCGACGTTTCATTCACAGACTATTCGAACACCAGAGTTTTGGAGACCCTCCAGCGTTCGTCTCATTATTTCATCGATCATGAAGTTAAAAAGGAATGGAGAGTGGGCATCCCTGACGGACACCACTTTGTGTGTGTGTGTGTGTGTGTGTGTGTGTGCACGGAAGCTTCCGGAAGTCTAAGAATACAAAGAGCTTATCATGTTCACGAACTTCCAAAGCATTCCTTGGTGGGCAAACGTATCAAGACAGACCGATCAACCGAGTCGAATGTGCCTTGGAAATCCAAAAATACTAGAATTGTGGGTTGCTTGTACGTATGACATTGTTCTAGCACCTGACGGGTTTGGTCAACGCGATCCCTACCAGATCTGAATCCCACTTGCTGCTCTGCAGTCAGCGTCTCACGAGCCGCTGTCAAGTGACGAAGAACCAGTGGCGCCAACGGTCTCGCTATGACCGGGGTCAAGCTGACCACCCTGTGGTTACCACAGTCACTACGCGGCCCTCTTTTGAGAACGGGCACTACCACCGATTCACCCCAGTTGTCTGGGACAGACTCCGTTTCCCAAATGCAAGAAAACAGATCGGACAAGCGCTGACTGAGGACTTCACCCCCGTGTTTGAACAGTGCGGATGGAAGGTCATCCGGACCAGGAGCTCGGTGGTGCCTGAGAGAACATATGCAGTCGTAAACCTCCGAGGCCGTAGGTGGTTCCACGTTCACCGTCCAGGGTTCTACTTCACCTGTGGGCTCTAGATGAGTGCCGGCTGGTGGCCACGACAGTTGTTGTTCGAAGTATTCAGCCCATCGGTCGAGGCGTTCTTCTTTGTTCGAGATGGTCGTTCCATTCTGATGTTTGATGGTTTCACTCACAGGTGGTTTCCGGGGGCCGGTCGCACGGATCAACTGAAGTAATCCTCGGGCATTACCAGCTTTCTGAGCCTCTTCCATTTCTTTGGCTTTCTGTGTCCACCATACTTCACGACCAGATCGCAAGCTCACTTTCAATTGACGTCTGATGACTTTTCGCATCGGGTTATGTTCGGGACCGGCTGGGATATTTCTTCGAGATTTAAGTAGTACCACCGTTCGGTCTGATATGCAGTGCTTGGGTGGTTGGTCGTGTCACAGGCAAAATTCCCAGTACTATGCAAAGAGTTGGCAACCTCGTCCAAGTATGAGTTTACATCTGATGGTGGAGCATTTGGAAGTGGCTCTAGAAGATGATTCTTGTAATTTCGTCTGATGTCCGGATCTGCCAGTCTTTCAGTTGCCAGGCGATTCGTCCGCACCTTACGCGTCCCCGGTAAGAAGCGACTCCGGACGAGCGCGTGGTCAGAGTCCACAAAGATGTTCCAAAACGACCACCAGTCAGTTATTGATCCGTGCCATCGATAACTGATGATAAGGTGATCGATTTGAGTTTGTGGCCGGCATGCCTTTTGAGGACACCATGTGGCTAGATGACTTAGGGTATTTTAGAAGTTAGTACCGCATAGAAACAACTTGCAATCAGCGCGCGGCTGAAGCAATCGTTCGCCATTGTCCGTACATACCGAGTCCAATCTACATCGACCTCCTAACCGAGTCCCAGATACGCTAAGCCTGCCCACTTGTGCGTTCATATTTCCGGCAACCACCACGATATCTGAGCTTTTAGCTCGCCACAACAGAGCATTCAGGGCGTCGTAAAACCCGTCTTTGACGGTGTTGGGCCCGGTGACTTAGGAGGATACCACCTCCTGCACATCCCGCTGCAGCAGCTTCTGGACCACTAGAGGTACGTAGCCGAAAGTGAGTGGAGAATGATAAGACGGTTAGCTCAATCACTGTGCTTGCATCTTGAATTCTCGTTTCTGAGATATAGCACACATCAACGTCAAGCGAGTCCAGTGAGATCAAGAGCAGCTTGTTGCCGTGCTTACTTTGGAATGCGGACATTGAAGGCGGTTAGATAGGCTGGGCGCCACGGCTTGAATATTGATCTCGGGATACTTGAGGATGTCGGCGCCATGTGACCAGCAGATGCTGCACGCAAAACCGATGCAAAATGGACGGAGTTATCAGCCCCAGGGCCTACAAGGGGATAGGGGGGTAGAAGTATGTGAAAAAGAAAGAGAGAGAGGCGTCAGCAGTAGCTTTTTTTCGCTTACCTGCCCTGCTGTATGCGGCGAGTAAGGCAACCGGCCGATGGCACCACGTGATGGTCGATGTGGTATGAGAGTAATATTAACTGTATGTCATGGTTGTACGTGGGCTGGGATACTATCATGGCGCCCGCGCCTGGACAAGAGAACGATTAGGGTCCTCAACCAAAGCGTTTGGCTGAAAAGCCTAACCACAAGGCAGCCGTGTTTGGCGGGAAATGCAAACGCACTACCATTTCTGCGGAACAGGTCGCCACCTGTTCCAACCCCTAACCTGGAGAACTAGGAGACTGTTCGTCAGTCCTCTAATAATTGACTAACCTGGTGTGAGGGACTGTTAGTGTCGTGGGGATACCCCCCGCTCAATGGGTTGATTAGGTGCGCAAACGGATCACACCACGGTAAGGTCCAATCTCTTCGTGACGGTAAAATATAACTGCTATAGCAGCTACCGGTGACGTTATTCGAATGGTTGGGTTATTAGGAACAACCATGTGGATGAGAATGGGGAACGTCAGCGGTGGTACATTTACACTCACTCGCTCCGTTGTATGCAGCAAGTTAGGCGGTACTTGTGAAAGAAAGAACGCCCGACCAACACGAACCAAGCAGGTACGCGCTACTAGGCATGCAACTAAAATGTCATTTGCACAGAGCTTTTAAGACTTGGACATTCTCATCCATCCTCTTGGGCTTTCCCGGACGTTCTTGCATTATTAAACAACAATAAACAAGCGCCGCAAGGTAGTCCCATGATTTCCGTACTGACTTCATTGGGAGCGGAAAGAGAGCTTTGACACTTTACCAGACACATTTCTCGTGTTTCATCGTACGTATACGTTACACGTTTTTAGCGGCGGCCCGTGTTATATGTTATTCTCATTCCAGTGATGAATTCTGGCTGAAAGTCATGTTCGTCCATGGACTGGGGTACTCAAGGAGGATGATTAGGGTGATCAAAAGCCTGATCGCCAGGCAACGGTGGTTGACGCGAATCCACCAGGGTAGTCCAATTTTTAAGGAATATCGTCATACGTGCTCCAAACCCTAACCAGGAGGGCCGGGTGACTGTTAGTCTGACCTCTATTCATCAATCATCCTGTTATACGAAATCGCTAGTGCCACACAAATATCCCCACTGTGGCCATAGGAGTCACATATGGGTCCGATCTGTTTGTGACGTGAGTTCGTTCATCTGGATTGTTCCCTTCAGTGCGTAACTAACATCTCCCCACATTCATGGCAAGAGACTTTCGGAATGCCACCCTGAGATCGCGGATAGGTGTGAAATCCAAGGATATCAACTACCGCTATCAGCGTGTAGCTGAACACATTTTGAACATCGTTTAACTAAACTTCAACAGCTAATGCCAGCGTAACACATGTACACGGTTAATAGCGTATGACCTTGGCAGCCCTCCATTCGTCGGTTCCGTCTTACAGCCCACTCTCACTTTGCAACAATGTAAGCTCTCTCCAACGTATTATTGTGCTTTTCCGGGAGCAAGATGGCTGTGGCTGGAGCGCGAATTTACTGTGGTTCGAACCCGACCTCCGCCTCTTGACTTCCCCTGTCTAGGCTTGGGCAGCCTGGCAGTATCACAGCCCTCGTGCTTCATTCGGGGAAGCATGGCATCTTGGCACCGAACTATTATTATTATTATTATTATTATTCTTATTATTATTATTATTTCCCGTCAGTTTCTGGTTATTCTAACGAGTTCAACTGAGTGAGCGGCGAATCTACACTTTTAGTTTTGTTACATGTCATTAGATTGTTATACTTTATGGTTTGCACTTTAGCCGACTGCAAACCCATGTGGTCAGGTCTTTCACTGCCTGACTAACTTCATTCCCGTACCGTCGGTAATTAATGCCATTTAATCCTATCACTTGGAGTCGTGAAATTATGTGAACAAAATGTTGAAACAACAGCTCCTGGATGAATACGAGTTCCAGTCCGATTTGGAAAGCGCTAGGCAGTGTACACAGGTAAGTAATCATGTAATCAAATTAGCAGCTGCCCTACCCCATATCTACCGTTGCTTTCTGTCAAAACGTCAGAAAGTGAATATCTTTTTTGTCGAGTCTCTTTCCTCTCTTACGTCGACACTATCAACCAGGCCAAACTAGTGATGAAATGGGAGTAGTTCTTGTTGAAGTTGAGTTATGCTCACTGTTATGTGGTTCACATGTTTTTTCGCGCACGTGTATCTCCAGGTTGACACAATCTTCCCTCATTGTCTAGGCTGCTCTGTGCGTCTGACCGTTTATTGATGCAAAGTCTTAACCTACTTAATGTATGAAACTGTTTACCGTTTTGATTTCATTCGCCTGTTGGTGCATAAAATCTCCACTTGTAGTAACTGGACATTGTTCAAGACGATTTTTCTCACGTGAAACCATATCTAGTTTTTTTAATGATGGCTTGGCAGGAATCTTAATGTGCCCGGAAAATCAGGGTTGACTTGTATCAGAGATGTGGGAGTCCCCAGATTTCACGCGAGGAGTTGGGCTGTCCTAAGGCATAGTCCTCCTTATGGGAATACGTTTATTTTCCCGCTTAGCCATCAGGACGTTGTGGATAAGCTTTAGGAAGAGGCCTGAACGTCTGATAATGGGGAGAAACTGCGACAACATCACTGACAAACCGCTGAAAAACGGCTGCTCCAACGAATGTTGTCTATGAACCAAACTATCTCTACAGTCTTGATGCGTATTCCACAGCTTCAGTGGAAGAATGATCTAAATTGTGACGTGCGGGTTAAGTTGGACCAGGCGCAGCTACTAAAATGCTATGAATCCATTAAATAAAGCCCACAACAGAAGGAAATTGCCGGTGACATTATTGTTACAAAGGCACACGTTATAGACTGGTTGTACTGCATCTCGTATGAGCCAGGTCCGTTGGCTTGTGATTATTTAGACAAACGGCCGCTGTCAGATATTATGTTACCGTAGGTGAATCAAAGAGGTGTTATTACCAAGCAGTTCCTCAGTTATATGGCATGTCCTGTCTCGCTTTTACTTTTATACGTTTATCGTTCACCCGCATTTCAGGCACCCTGCCGTCGTGTTGCCGATCACTGTTCCAGCCTATTGGACGCACTTATCATTTTCAAGACCTGGTTTATTCAAAGACAAGGAGAACTAGGCCCAACTAACCACCAACAGCATTCAATAACAGATGGTGTTCACTCTACTGTCATTCAATTTGATCAGACCAACGGTAATACGTTGTCTCATTGTTCACGTTCTCTTACCGCCACAAATGGTCCCATCGAGTCCTGCAGTGCAATGGAAACAGCTAACATGGCGTCTGCGGTGGTATTGCGTGAACGCGACTGGGCTTTATCGCGTATGCGACGGATGGAAAATCAGGTGGGCCGTCTCCGTAGTGCGTGCCTCGCGATGCGTGTCCAACTGGAGGCCGGACTTCGCCATAAGATAGAAGCGGACCAAGTGAAACGGGAACTAGAAATGACGCTTGTAGGTTTTGCCTGTCAATTTTGTTTTGCTCGCTGTAGCGATGCATGAAGTTACGCGAGTAATTCAGCTTGGTTTACTATCACACCACCCAGTCTACATGCAGTACCATCATCTCCAAACTGTTTTTTTTTCGCTTAGTGCATTTCTAACTACTGAACCAGGAGACATTCTTCACCAACGGCTACAATAGAGTGTTCGCATGTGATGCATGACTTTTTCAGCCACAGGCATAACCTTTGGATAGAGTTTGATCCAACCAAGCTGCCTGAATTAGCGGACGTATCGACGCTACATGCATGGGAGGTTGGTATCTCGGAGGACTATACAACACTTCTACCGCGTTCACCGGGATGATATACTTCAGTGGCTGGATTTTAACGAAAACGTTTCATTTCTTCTCGGAATCAGTGATAGACGCTGACTTTTCTGCAAAATGTTGAAGCAAGAAAACAAAGAAACAACAAGCGTTAAAACAGCATTTGGGTATTGCGATGACATGCATTTAGCTGGTTGCAGTTTTTCATTTGAGAACTATGGTTGCTTCCAAGCCCTACAGCTTTGTTCCCCGAAAATAGAAACCATTCGGGCGTTAGAAGCAACCACCTGGTCAGGTCCTTGATTTCCTAATACAATTCCTATGTGTATTCGGATAATAATGTTATTAGTAATCGTTCAGCTGGAACACCCGAAGGAGGCACAAGGGCTGAGGTAGTGCCAATTTGCTCAATCCCAGACAGCAGAAGTCGAGTGGCATTGGTCGGGTTCGAACCACGGATCCTCCGGTCACTGGGTCCGCACCTTAACGACTCAATTTTCTCGACTTGAAAGCGACAATCTGAATGCTTCAGCCATATTCGCTGCATGATTAGGTAGTTCCCATCAGTTTCATCGACTGTTGATTGTGTCACCCTGGGATTCCTATGCACCGACGTGACAGAACACATAAGGAAGAACCTTCATTCCTCAACGTCATTGGTTGTCTCCTCCTTACATATAGCTGCATTTGTGGGGCTCTGCAATTCAGACGGCCTTCTGACGCGGAGTGTGACCAAATAAGCCATTGTACCAATTGGAACTTACTATCACTGTTGTGGACAAGTTGTTTCTTCCGAGATCTCGAAACACCTATAGTGTTTCCATGAGGCTTATACAATGCTTGGAAAACACTGACGTCCAAACACAGAATCTTCTTTGTGTATTCTGTGTTCGGTGGTCTGGCTCTTCGGACCACACTACACAGCAGCAGTCGCCGCCGTAACAAGTTTGTCACACCACTGCCACAGGTTTCAAAGGTTGACAGCTTCTGAAGGTTCTTTAATCTTTCGGAAATAATGAGGTAAATAATGAGGCTTCCCTAGGCGGAGTGACACATCTGAAAAGATGCGCTTCGAATTCGATCCTACCCAACTTTATCGTTTGACGGGCATCCTAAACGACGTGACCCTATGGTCGGTTCACCTACAATGACTTAGAACGAGCACTGTCATCAATGTTATTGTGTCTGTGTAAACGCTTCCAAAGTAGTTGTTGGACCCATATAAGGGAAAATCGAAAATGTTGTCCATATAGACGGATTGAATTAGCTGAGCATCACCTCGCAGCATTGTGTGGGAAACAGCACCGTGAGGTCGCCATGAACCCCTGCTTGTCCATAACAGTGCAATTTAAACCCGTCATCTTCGAAACAACAACTGACATATTCTCATCGACTCTGTTTACTGGAGTTAAAATGGCCGCCTAGGGGCTCAACTTGACTCAAAGGCTACTAAGAATGCCAGCTCAACGAAATTCCAACAGTTCTAGAGCGTTGTTCGTCCCATGCGACTGAGATATTGGTACAAATGGTCCAGAGTTAGACAAACCAAATGGGAAGCCAGCCAAGTTACGCGATCGGCTCTCACTTATTGCCCTGATGTGCGCATTTAGTTTGCACAGTTTCCCATCGAAAAACATTCTTTTGTGCGAACTAGTCATCACGTGTTGGCTTCCAAAGGACTCAAGAGTAAGACTTCCAGTTTTAGCGCAGCTCTGGAAATGTACGGACGACCTAATCACTAGGAAGCAATACATTGGGCACAGTTAGGTGTCGTACCTCATGACTGACTTTTTCTCACTACAACCCTACCTATTTCCTCTTTTAAACAGAAGACTGTAGGTCACTATGAAAACATCATTTCCGAAGGCAATCGTCTCCGAGAAGATTTACGAACAGAGCTAGCAAGAGTTCGCAAAGAGATGTCCGTTGCTCGTTCGCGTATGGCACCAGATTCTGCAAGTAGCGGTGTGGGCAGTCGCTCTGCTACCATTCGAATGCATGGCCACCCTTCTGACTCTTCCGAGCGAGCTGATTCATTGGCTACATCAATGATGGCGACACTGGGTGATATGCAGTCATCATCAGCAAGTGAACTACGGATCATCGTTGAACGACAGGCTAGATGGATAGAGACAATGAATACAGAGACAAAAGAACTCAGGGGGAGTATACGTGTGCTCTCCGAAAAGGTAAGTTATATCGAATTGGCTGTTTGTTTTCCAGAGCTATGACTTGGGCTATGCCCATTCTCTATGCGGACAAGTTGAATTGTGCCATCTTACCGTTTTCACCTATCTTTCAATAGGACTCTGAACAAACAAAGATGATAGATACTCTTCGTACAACTGTGCAAGACGTGATGGATCGCATCTCTGCCCTGGGCCATAAACGACAAACGTTATCCGCTAGCCCCTTTGGATCCGTCCTAGATTTTTGCTGGTTGTCAACTCTGGCAGCTCACCTACATTTGGAGATACCAGAAAATCTGGCGGATATTGCAATGGAGCACGACCCAAAGCGAGATGTAGTTGTCACAACAGAAGCGGCCGCTTATGGCCAGTCAGCACAACCTACTACGCGTTGCAAACGCAAGCTTCGACCAGAATTGGATAAGTCAAAGCCTGAACCCCCAAAGAAAACTACGAAGACAGAAGTGCCCAGTCCAGCTAAAGTGGATTTGGATGAATACATGGAAAGTCAGTCCTCTTCCTTTAGTGACGTCGAATCGGTGCCGTCATCTGTGGTTCACGGATCTAAACTTTTGGAGGATATCTTGTCAGAATTGCATCATCTCGAAGGTGAGTTATTTTTCCTTTGCTTTTTCGTCTTTTCGGCGTACAGTCCAATACTTTTTTTATCCAAAGACAGCATTTCTGGGACCTGTCTGCCCTATGCATACTTGTTCAGAGGTCATTTCATTTCCAAGGTAGTTTGATACTGCTTTTAGTTACCGTGATATCGCGGTTGGACAGAACAGACTAGTTCATTCGTTTTTCCATTTTAAAGGTGATCCACTCTTATTACTGGTGCCGGATGAACCGTCTCCTAGTAAGAAGCATGTTCCTGATTCGAAAAGCGTTATGGACTCTCCTTTGCCCAGTCCTACCTCCTCACCGACACTACGAAAACGACGCAACTCTCGTCTGATCTCTGACTCTTCGGACGCACATCAGGTTCGCGCCGCTAGTCCAACTACAGTCACCTCATCCTCATCCAAAACGCATAAGCTTCTGTTACCAGACTTAAGCACTTCCGTCAAACGTACCGGTTCGCTTCCAGTTGACGGCACAGCTGTGGCTGACCGAACATCTCCACGATTGCTCGGTAAGTCCCCGATGTACTGATTAATTGTGTTTTTCCCTTTAACAGGGACTTTGTCGGCTCAAGCTAGATTTTTCGATGCTATCAAACTGAACAGCACTGCGCAGCCATTGAGAAGTTATCGACAGTACGTCTTCTCTGAAAGTTCTGGGGGGATTTAATCTTGCACTCGTTACAAACAGCAATTAATACAGTTTTTACCTTTCCCCTCCCAGAAGCACAGCCAAATACACAACCGATAGGATATTGCTCCGTGTTTTACGTTGCGAGAAGTTAGTGGATTCAGAGAAACGGGCGATCCGTGACGTTCCAGACTCGCATTGAGAACAAGCCCTCGAGGTCTGTTTACACACTCTCTCTCTGAGAGAAGAAGCGTTGATCCTCTTATTTGTAGCATTCTCTCCGTATTTCTTAGATAGACACCAACTGACATCAGGGAGAACGCATCGGAGAATCGTCCCATCAACTTATCGGAAACTGGGCAACAGCAGGCATGTAGGGCCATTTTGTTGACCTTTTTGTAACGAGACAGTAAATCCAAGAGTAGAACCAGTTAAATATCCAAAATGCTTTTCGTGCACACTCCTGCTTGTGATATCCACGATAAACTGCCCACGGTTTTTGCCACTGCTGAATGACCTAGTTCTTCCAGGCTTTTCACACAAGATGAATTGTCATGTGACAGTCTAGATAAAGGATATTCAGAAACTTGCTGAAACCTGACTGTACTTCAAACGTTGAGCCTCTGGATTAGGGTAGATCGGTGTTTTTTTTTTCAAGGCAGAGAGGAAACATGTTCTTTATGCTGGATTTATGACCTTATTGAGACTTTTATTCCACTGTCGAATCTGTTTGGCCGTGGAAACACCCAGTTAGCTTTAGAAAGTCGCCTCTTATATCTTATTGGTGAAGTAAGCGTATAACGTATCAAGATGGTAACAAGTATCCATGAGAGACTAGGACCAGGGTTGTTCAAACACAGTTCCGGGATCTTATTTACTTGGCTAACCGGGCCTCGTATTTTGCTACTTCACAGAGTTGTCCTCAATAAGTGAACCGTCAAACGACGAAAAGAATATTGCGGCCACCTCAACGGTTCAATCTCCAACTCCCCCTACCCACATCCCCGCGTCGACCCAAGGACCGCGAACGCGACAAAGCAAGAGGAATGTCTCTGATACTAAGCGCATTGTTCGAAAGCTGTCTGAGTCCAGCGAGGATGCAAGCATCACAGTTCCCACCAGACGTCGTAAGTTACGCTCTTCGAAGGGTGCCGCACTTGAAGCCACTGAATTGACTTCATTGGTACAGCATGATGCTGAATCTCCCTCCCAACCTCGTGAGTCTCCAGTGGATTACTCGTCTAATCTGTTGTATCACTTCTAAGTGGGACGCGATTCCTCAGCGCATTATTCAATCCGTTTTAGCTCAATTACCAAAAGTTACGCCTTAGGTTGACCAGTTTTCTCGCGTACTGTCAGCTTCCACTGCTGGATATTTCCATTGTCCACCATCAATCCGTCACTACCTTCAGTTGTTTGTCCTCTTTACCATAAAGTGAGCCTATCCAAGCTGGATGTAGTATAGCTTAGTTATGTCCAGGCTTAGAAAAGAGCAATTAATAGGTCAGTTGTACTCGGACTTTATAATCTTCTCCAGGTATTCAATCCTGTAACAGCTGTCTCCCCATCAGTTTTCTGTCCTAATTTATTATTGTTCGTATTTCACTCTGTCTCCTCAGCCACGAGGGTTTTCAAACGAACACCACCTGAAGAAGAACCTACAGCGACTTCAAAGAGCCACATTCGTTCTCGGCGTACGGATAATATTGTCCATCTGAACCCTACTCTGAGTTCGCTGTCATCCACCACAGTTCCGGTTGTTCATCCTTTTGTTCCATGTGGTTCGAAACGAACACCGGGACGTTCTGCTGCCGCGGACGTAATCGCCGATGCATCTATTGCCACGAGGGTTCCAACTTGCCCGGCAAGCTATACTCGCAAATCACGCTCCAGGGTTTCTATTTCATCTGCAAACACAAAAAAAGATGAAAGACAGGATGAAAATACTCTGGACATTTGCCTTCTGTCCCTCTTACAGTCTGCCTATTCGCCCAATACTATTGACTGGTTTGACCACATCACATCTGAGGCGATCACAAATGAAGCATCTGTTAGTGATCCAGTTACCGTGAACCAACTTTCGCCGGTGCATGCTCATGATATTTCACAATCTCACTTGCCACCTGTGTCCACGGGCGACCAGCAACAACATTCCTCTGACAGTTTTTCTCACTTGACCACTGACTTGGCTGTGAAAGCAGCACCTCAACAAGAACCTGTTGCTACTGCGCTCGATTTGAATTCATCTCTCCAGACATCCTTTAGTGACTACCTGCTTTGCTCAGCAAGTAACCGGTCTCCTGCTACATTAGCGCAGTGTCTGTTAAATGTGCCACTCGCCAACAGTTTGGATATAGTATGGTTAACGTTCCTTGATGCAGCTCACCATGATAGGGTTGAGGATTCGGAGCTGAGAGAGGTTAAATTTGTCAATCTCTGCCTGGCCTTAACATCACATCTGTCTGTTCGTCAGCTTAGCGACTGGCCCTTATATCATACTAACTATTTTCGTTATCCCGTCCAAACGGCTGCCGCGGTCAAATGTGTCTATCGATTATTTTCCGTAGACCGATCTGCGGAAGCCAATAGTTACTCGCGAGTGTATCTTACTCGCCTCTTGCAAAGTCTGAGCAACAGCAATGTTGACCAGTTTCTGCTCATCTCATTGCCGTATATAGTGGATGAGTGTCATACCATCTTCAATGAACTTTGGCCCGGGCTGCAGCCACTAAGAGACGCAGCGGCGTCACAGTTCTATCATCCAGTAGCGGATCCACAGTCTTTTTCCTTCCTAATTGCCACCGTGCAAGCTCTCTTAGCTTGGCAAGAAGCTAGGGTTATGCGATCCCAAACCGTAATCAAGCAGGATAAAAAGAAACAATCGATGGATATTCAGGCTATTTTTGCTAGACTCCATACAAGTGAGTGGCTTCCTGGACAACCTTTAGATTCTCGTCGGCCGACAAGTCTAACCAGTTTGGCTCTATCACAACAGAATCATCGATTACGACGCTTGGCACTTCGCCTAGTCGATGCGTGTCTGCAACTACAACGAACCGAGGGTAGTGGTTCCATCACCGTGGTGAATACCGGACCAACCCCAGAGCGTCAAGAAGCTGCTTGTTCACTACACATTCTAATTTCTGCCATGGCTTTTGTAGTCGGAGAGGAAGCAATCATTGACAACGAAGAGGATGTCCAAGATTGTATTTGTGAATCTGAAGGTTCGACCAGTACTCATCAGCGAAAACGTCGAAATCGACAAACACATCGTCAACAACGGCAAGGCTTACTAGGATGGCTACTCAACGGACGTCTTCTCCCTTGGTTAACAAAACAAGCGAAGTAAGTCAACCGGAGCCATTTGTACATTCTATGTTTAGTCTGAAATTTTATATCTACTTGCAAATTGCCAGTAGTGTAGCGCTGTGGGAATTTGACATGCCGAATCGAAACAAGAAACACCGGTTTCCCATGGCCGACGGGTACTTTCTACTTTGGTAATGTGTCGAAATATTGGTAGCTCGGGTGAGTTCATTGGTGCTGATCTGTTCGCTGAGCTTGGCAGGTAACTTGCAAACGTTTCGTCACCATAAGAAGAGACATCAGTGCGCACACGGGTGACAGAATCCATAGTGAATTGATTGCAAACGCGGATTCCCTCCGGCTTGAAGTATTGAAATATGTACTGTCAACTGTTGTGTTGTATAAAACTGGGTAGACTTTTCATTTAAGCCATTGTATTAGAATCCGAAGACCTGGTTTTACGGAGCATAAATCATCGACAGTTGGTCTTATCAACTTAGCAATTCTCATGACGGAGTTGTAAACGTCATAGGATCAGAGGTTAGTCAATTAGCCACCCGAAATCTGTTTGGATCGTGGCTGATCGCACTCGTTACTCTCCTCTTGGTGTTACTGCCTGTCTGATTACAGTCCAGACAGATAAACTGAACTGATTTATTTCTTACCTTCCTGTGATTAGGCGTTCACCAATTCTGTGGACAGCTTATAGGATAAGATGCCAGTTTCGGAAATGGGTGTCACTGATGAAATAATCCTGGGAGACCTTGGTGACGATCTTGAAACCCCCTAACGTCCGCCATGGTGAAAATGAAGGACCTTGTCCATCAAGAAAGACAAATGGTCATGTCGAAGAGTTTTCAACAACCTTATAAGTAGTGTACTTCGTCATTACGTGTCAGTGTTTTCACACCCTCGTCTTCTGCAAATGGCGCTATTAGTTGATGGAATCTTAATACGACTGATGAACTTCAGTAGTAATATAAGAATATTTCTAGGAAACTGGTTCCGGAAGGACGTTTTCCATATTATTCCTAGTCAGAACAACCCACAGATGGTCGCACTTGATTCTAAGAATTTTTATCGCTGAGAGGCCTGCCATACTTTGTGTTAACAAGGTGTGCTGAGTCGTGCCTGAACATGTTATTTGAGTTCACCACCGACTTCTTTCTTTTCTATCCACAGAATGTTGCGCACAGCGGCTACGACTGATGAGCAGATTTTGTTTGATCGACTTCTTCTGGTCACAACCGACCTGGTGGTTCTCGGAGGCCAGTTATTCTCCAGTCGAAATGTGCCACTCATTCGGCGACAGCCACAACCTCTTACTTCTCTGGTAGATGAACTTCGCTCCACAATATTCGCGTCTGGTCGCCGTATACTTACCCTGCTGGAAGGCCAAGCCACGCAGCCTTTTTCAGCCTCATTTATCTCCGCTACCGTGCGTCTGATTGGGTTCGCCCCTCAACGCGCTATGAAACTTATGCTCCGCTTTTGTTGTGATGCTCCGTCTCCAAGTCAGATACCTTCGATGCCTACTTCGATCCTGTGGCCCCACTGTACCCTCCCCTCCCTACTCTCACAGTCTTTGAATCTCGTTTCCAGTGCAACCCATTTGCCTCAGTCAATTATTTCAGCCTACGCACAAGCTTGCAAATCGCTCATGGACGTCTCTTCGGACTAGTACATTTTTGTACAGCGTTCTTAACATTTTAAAACAAATTAAAGACCTTTTTATAGTTGTATTTTTTTACACCTGCATGTGTGTTGTCTTCCCGTGATGGTCTTTCTTCCCCTTGACACCTCACACCTTCGGAGCGTTAGACCGAACCGGAATTATCAGCTTGCGGCATCAGTTTTTTCTGTTGAGTAATATAATCCTCCCTTTAGCCAGAGGACGTCACTATTCAATCACAAATCAGTTGAGTAGTAGCTCAACCTCTGGATCTGTAAGACAGGTGAAAAACCGTATCTACGACCAAGTGGTAGCTCCATGTTCCGTGTGCTCGGTATCTGTGGTTGTCCTCCATTGTTTGAGCAGGTTACAGACCCTAACCCATTTCTAGACGTATGGTTCCAGGATAGTGTTCCAAAATTCAACATAGTTCACAGCTTTGACCAATATCACCGCCCGACTGAAGTCAGGTTTGGTTAGATAGTGATACAGTTCCCTATAGATACCTGAGAATTCGAAATTCTCCTTTGGGAAGGTGGATTCAACCCGAGTATGTTGGTCTCGCAGTAACTTGCTTGTCTCATAGACAATTTCGACCTATAAGTGTTCGGCGTTTTATCAACGGATAACTTGTTTTGTTGTTCGGTATATATCACCGTGGATTGAATGCTGCTCATTCGTTAAACACATCATATGCGCGTATAACATGATGCGAATCTAACCTTCCCAGGTAGTTATGTTTTGTCTGCCAGTCGAGCATCCCATAACTAGTGAGGTACAGCACCCTATTGCCTGTGGTGTCTCTGTTCAGTTCTTAGCTTGTTAAATTCTTCTTTAACATGCTGGATTGTTTCCACGGAGAATTTCGTTATGTAAGGCCGGTGGCAACTGCTGAAACAACTGTTCCAGAACAACTGTCCCCAGCGGTGCGTGTCTAATTGACATGTGTACCTTAGGATCGTATATTCGACTGCAAAATCCCATGACGAGGAGTCTTATCCACTATTGGTCCCACTTTGATGCTCACTGTTTACTTGCTTGCGGACGGCGGCTTTGTTAGCCGACTTGAGCGAAGTTGGGACATCAACTTCTTGACTGACTGACTGACTGGCAGTAGCCACAGAACCTAAGGACTATCTGGTTTAATAATCAGGCATTCAGATCATTTGAAGAACTGAACTACGGGATGTGCATGACAAACCCTTGGATGACGTGGAGGAGGACGTGATGGATCTGGAGAACCCTATGTGAACGTGCAAGTTATCTAGTCCTCCTAAAACGCCGTATTGGATTGGGGGAGCCCCGGTGAGGTGGATCAAAGACGTTTCCACACTCCTGTGTCGCTTTGATGCCCATCAAATCCCTACTGAGAATAAATGATGGTTCTTAGTGGTACTACAGTAGCCCATTTTCTTAAAGGACAACTATGAGCAAGCGAAGTATGTGACCTTGCCTGGGGGTGGAGGGCTCACACACTGTACTACGTTTGCCTAAGCCTGAAGTACTCTGTGCTTTACTTCTCGTAATACGTTAACCTGGGCCTACTCAACAAAGTTCCGATTAGTAACGTGCCATATCCTGATGGTCATACGTGTGTCTGTGATAATGTGGGGAGATTTGGGTATTTCAATGGAGATTTCGTCCTGTAGGTGAAATCAGTCTGCTGAAAAAAGCGAGAAAACTAACGCTGTTTCATCCTAATGGAAATCTTCAGCAATGCCTATTTCACGAAACTCCATATAGTCTCGAACTGAAATGAAACGGCTGTGCGACACCCGTCGGTTTTTCTGCATAGATTGGCTTCAATTACAGGACAAAATCTCTAATAATGTATCCGATTGTCCGTCTGTCTTTAAACAGCGTGTGCCCTGTTTTTCCGTAGATTGAAAGCCCACTAAAACAAGGCAGTGGATGCAATGCGGCGTAATGCAACATCTCCGTAAGCAAGGGATTTAACTCACCGGGACAAGTAGCCCTAGAAGAGCGAAAAATCTCTGTTGATTGGCTGACTGAACAGGCGACACATCGTGCAATAGCCAGCCACGAAGGGAATGTTTCCCACATACACAGTGGCGAAGGCTAACAAATACCTATTACCTGCACGTATGTGACCCCCCTTTGTCGTTGACCCAACATGCTGAAGTGTTTTTAACTCTGATTTAAATTTAGCTAATCGCACATTACTCCTGTGTCACCGGAGAAATGCACACTGGAAATCTCGTTCCTGAACCTTCCGAAAAAGCCCTAAATAGCACAATTGGGTCGTTCTTAGAAATAAGGTATACTGAGGAGTTTTGTGTTTACGACACCAGTAATTTAACCGATTCCCCGGCTTCTTTCTGGATTCTTTACCGGTCTGCTTGACTGTGAGAACGCAGCTACTATCTTTGCAAAGTAAGCTTAATATTTGTCTTCTTTTTCGTTAACTGAACTTTCATTATTTCCCCTCGCACTAGCAACACAATGGCAGTCCCTTTGCCGGCCGTCTCTGAGCGGATGAACAACCCCAAGAACCCGGTCGTATTTTTTGACGTCACTGTTGGTGGACAGGTACCGTATTCAGTATTTGATGAGCCTTCTTCGCATAAACTGTAAATCGGCGATTTTATTCATTTTCATATCACTTTGCTGCTTCCATCTTTCTCGTCATCCCTCCGCAGGAAATCGGCCGGATGCAGTTTGAGCTTTTCCAGGATGTTGTTCCGAAAACCGCGGAAAACTTCAGGTATGTTCTTTCTCAATAGCTGCCAATCGATTCTCTTTGGTTTGTGAAAATGGGTTCGAATATTTTATTGTCGAGATTAGTGCCTGTCGTTATTTACTCCATGGTGTGCTTGTGTTCGTGACCAACAGTTATCACAATCAAGTATTCTACGCACTTCGTAGTACCATTGATTCTTGTTTCCATTTATTCGCTGCTAGAATAGTCTGTTATGTATTTTACCCTCACACTAGATGGTCTCTCTTGTGAATGTCAGGTCCCATTTTCAGAGATACATCGTCCTGAAAAGTCTCCTTTTTTGTGGTGGCTACGATATTGTATAATCTTCCTCCGAGCCGTCAACTGTATGTTATTCTGTCTCTTTGCAGGCAATTCTGTACCGGAGAGTATAGGAAAGATGGCGTTCCAACAGGATACAAAGGCAGTTCATTCCATCGTATCATCAAGGACTTTATGGTTCAGGGTGGAGATTTTATCAATGTAAGATGAACCTGCTCTACCCGGTCGACTGTAACTTTGCTTCTTGAGCGTGACTGCTATTTCCGCTTTGAGTAGCATGTTTTATTAGCGTCCAAGAGGCTTGGGATGGGAGCTAAAGGTCAGCGAGGAGCAAAGTGATCTTGAGGTTGACTGTTGTTGTGTGCTGCAAAGTGCCTGTTTAAAAGTAAGATAGTAACTTCGTCAGGACTAGATTTGTGTGGCTAGATTCTGAAAAAAAACATTTCGCGTGCGTTTTCCTTTTTATCTGAACATAACAGTTGGGCAAAGACAGATGAGAAACGTAGCCGTCGTGTTACCACTTTCAGGCTACTAAATCCTGGACCACATACTCGCTGACTGGCTTCTGAATTCGGTCTTGTCCACCCACCTTTCATTCACACACTGGTTTGACGTGGCCACCATGCTGCAGTATCCAGCTGTGAAGATTCAGTGGCAAGGTTTAAGCAATCGTCAGGTTACTAAACAATGCAGTTTACGTGTATAACTATGATAAAAACCGCTGGTGTTTGGCGACCACACAGGGTCACAGATACCCTGCACATGGCTCCCCAAACAATTCTTTTGAGGTGTGACCACATCTCCAGTTGTCGTCAAACTTGAAGGACCGGTGACGCCTAATTTATTTGAGCAATTAGCGTTCTCTCTTCATAGTATTACCCCTTCCTGCTTGTTTCAGATTACTTCCCTGTAGAATTTTTTCTCGCTACCTTTCAAGCATTTTTTTCGGAGGCAGACTGGTCACACCAAACAACATTGTTCTGTCTCCTTTATAGCTACAATTTCCCATGTAGTTTCTCCATATTCGCTTTCAAACTACCGTCTTCTTCCCTGATCCAATACAGGGGGATGGAACCGGTTCTTTCAGCATCTACGGTGGCACCCAATTTGCGGATGAGAATTTCAGGATGAAGCACAATTCCCCTGGAATGCTTTCCATGGTAAGTTGGTGTGAACTCCGTATTACGTGTGCTGTAGTGAGCCGGCACAAGATGTTTCTATCTGTAGCCTGAATTTTCCTAATATCTGTTGGACCCGTCTCGAAGCTCCACCGCTTTCTCCTGTTTCCTAACAATTGTGATGAAACAGATCATTAGAAATGTCTCTCAGAGTCACCCTGCAGACGTTTACAAGGTCATTAACAACTCCACTTATCAGGCTCACGTCAGCCCCTTATCTGGAGACATCGTGCGCTTCCAATGAATGAGCTCCGTGTCTCACACCAATGTTGCTCGTTGATTTGTGACGCCTATCACAGAGTTATAAATAAGCGACCCTAGAAGAACTAGTCAATTATTTCGGTGCATATTCACTGGCTGACTGGTTCCCAATACGTGTCTGACAGTAGAGTACCCACTAACCAAGGAGCAGATGAATTTATCAACGAACAGACGAATTGAAAAGTACATGCTCTCGCTGCTTTATGACATTCATTTTGTCCCTGAACTTCGCTTTTATTTGATTGGTTGGTATGAGGTTTTCTAACTTCGATAATTCCAGAACATTGTTATTGCCTACTGTTGGCTGCTGGAACATCTAAACAGAATCCAGTTACTTCAAAAAGGCTCATTTAGATCCAACACCATCTGGTTCATCTGGACTCCTGAGTTTGTTCTCACTAAACTGACACCTCTGATGTCTTTAGGTTAAGTAGCCCTTTGACAAGTTAGGAATACAAGCCAAGATTTTCGGGAGCAAAGAGATAAAAGAGATTTTGGAGGTATTTTTAGCTAGGCACTTTCAATCGTTTTATCAACTTCACTGATTGTGACGGCAGCCCTTCCTCATTTCTACCTGATGCACGGCTGACTACAGTTATTGGCTAGTGAAAAGTAATGTGACGGTGGATAGTCCTGATTAGTTGACACTGGGCATCACTATATATGGATAGGCCTTTTGCAATCATCCAGATTTTGATAGGAGGTTCTTTTCTTGAAAATTAGTTGCACCCATACCCTTTTTCTCGCAGTGTTTAGCTTTTTTCACCCTCTTGATTTTTTTCGATGGTTTCAGGCCAACAGTGGTCGAGATACAAATGGATGTCAGTTTTTCATCACTTGTGCTCCGTGCGAGTTTCTTGATGGGAAACACGTAGTGTTCGGTAAGTTTTTTTTTGCGGTTTCGTGGATATCCACTTAGCAGTCAGCCATTTAAATCTAGCGTAGCACAAACCCGATAACCACTCTAGGGGCTAGGTATTCCAGCGTTCGCCTTTCTGGATGTCCACAATAGTAGATTTTGTGACCAGTTTGTGTAATATTACCTGTGAACACTCGTTATTTATCCTCGACCAAAACATGCCAGAATAGGTGTTTCAGTGATCCTGTGGGCTACATTGTTAGCAAGACAGGAATGCAACCTAACAGCAGCGAATCTCTCTACTACGTCCGATTGTATTATGAACCGTTTCGAAGGTACACTGGGCTATAGAAGTGTGTTTTGTCTCCTCTGATACTTCTCGGAAAAACAACACATAGTAGGGTTCGGAGTCAGATTTCCATGCTTCACTTCACTTAAGGTAGGCCAAAGGCTCGGTGTAGGGGCCTCAATCAACCTCCATCTGTGATATAAACGATACAGAAGTTATCAGGTATTGTCGCCGTTCACACAGCCATGACGAAAATCTCCTTCATCTTTTTATCGTTCCCCGCATTATTTTCTAAGTCTGTGCAACCCACACATCTCCGGTTGGATCGGTCAATGGCCCGCTCTGACAAACACATCCACGTTTAAGTCCTGACGTGTTTTGCTCTTACGAAACTTGTTATATGTTAGAGTAAATAGCTCTGAACGTAACTGGACTACACAACTACCAATGGGATGACAGTTTTCGTTGAGACAGATTTAATTAGTTGTTCTTCACTTGCCCTTGACAGATGAGTTACATTTTTAGAACTTCCCACGTGGGCCTTATGAACAGCCCGTTTTCGGTTGCATATGACACGTCTGTACGCGTCAGTGTTCAATAGATCAGCTGATTCGCACATTCATTGGCTTTCTGGTCTGGCTAAGCGCATCAAGCTATCAGGTGTCTATCCAGACTCGGCATTAGAAAACTGTGGTCCACAAAAGTATGCTTCAGAACTTTGTGGAAGTCTTTGTTGATAACCATACTAACCAACTGAGAGAGGCTCTAGTGGCATCCTCTGTTTCAGAGCGGAAAACCTCGATTAATATTACTTTTTTAATAGCCCGTCACTTACCAGCAGCTATAGTACAGCCCGATAAAGGGGCTTTCTGTTGTGCTTTGTGTGATCTTCAATGTTAAACAACAAGGCTGGAAACTGCAATTCTGGTTGGAGACGTGAACCTGAAACCCAGTCGATTTTTTCCCAAAGGAAGAGCGACTGGAGTCGTCCGTGTACGGCGCTCAAACGACGGTGGCGACTTCTCCATCCATGTGCTTTTCACAGTGTATTTATCCAACATGGCGTTTCGATATTATGCATTAGTCAAACGTCAACGAACATTGGATGAAAGTTCCGACAATAATTTGGACCGCATGCGAGCAGCTGGCAATATGATATCGCATCCCCGAGAAGGCCGAGTTTCCACTGATGATATTTTCATCCGAAGAGCGCTGTTCCATTTCAAATGACTCCCAATAGGGCAATAAACGGAAAGTGCTTGGATGTGAATTTAAGGACGGTGTACGAAGATCCCCGTAGGACTACATCGAACGAGTAAAGAAATTGAGGAAGACTTTCTTATCTCACGAGTCATACTGCATTCTCATATCCCCAACTTTCCTGGTTGAAAACTGATTACTAGATTGGCTGTATGCGCAAAAGGTGACATCACACTTCACAATTTCTCACGCCTTCTTATCTCAGAGCACCTGAGCTGGCCGAAATCAGGTGTCTGGCCAACGTATCCAGAAGCCAAAGTGTGGGACTACGCCAGCTACTCGCTTTTTGAATTCAGCTGTCTAACGGAAACGGGACACCGATTCAATTATTCTTCCCACCTGCTCTGTTGAAAATGAACGGATGAAATCATTATTTCCTCATTAGCAAGCCTCATATAATGCACTTGACAGACGTGAAAGGTACCGCATGACTGATGCCCATCGGTCATTATCTGTGACGCCTCTATAGTTGTCAGCCCACTTGCAATCCCGTCCAGGTTGATGGCTGGCTTCAAAAACGAGATGAACCACCACAGCAAGATTTTAACCCAGTTACGGCTGTATTGACTATATTTTGAGGGCATTACCGAGGCAGCAACTGGTTATGTCAATATTTCAGGTTTTCAAGGCACTTTTCAGCTTGGTTGCTCAAAGCGATCCATAGAACCGTTTGTTTCGCCGACGATTGTTGAATGTTTTCCAATAACCATATGCTCATCCGAAGGGCAGAGCGACAGCATAAGGACACCTGCGTCGAGCGTCACGCACAGCGACTGAAGTTCGCCAAGTTAAGTGATTTCTCCCTTACTTTTCAACTTTATAATTCGCCATTTAATGGGAGAGGCATTCAAATGCTTCATACTCATAAGTGCCGAGCACTTTGTGGAGCGCGTACTACCCAAATCTCAGTCCTTCGCCCCCCTCCTCCGCAAACGCAATTTTGGATATGCAGAAAGAAGCGGAGGCTCTTGGCGCCTGTGTAAAGTCATGCTATCAGTCGCATTAGGAATACAATCACTCTCTACATAACAAATGATCTCGAGGCTATCGGTAACGTGGCCTACTTGGGAAGCGCTGTGTTTTCTTGCTTTCATGCTTCGGATACAGTAGCCTTCGGAACAAACAAGGAGCGCCCGGACTGCACTTCAGTTTTATGGTTGAAAGCTTGTCAGGCGAGAGGCGGAGTTTATAAGGCCATTGTGTAGTCTTTCCTTCCGTACATTCTGAAATCTTGGCCGGTGCATAAAAAATGCACACAGTCCCCCGGTTTTTTTAATAATCCTGCTTCTGCCAACTGGTTTTCATCTATCGCGCCAGCATTAAGGTGGCACGTAAGCATATATTTGGCAGTGGGTGAAACCCATGCTTAGTAGTGAAGGTATATGGTCTAGAAAGTGACTGCTGTTTGCGAAGCTCCAGCCAAACTGGGGATGTAATAGTGCTAATCACTCAGTTCTACAACACTTCGCAAATTCAACAGTTGTCTTCCGAGTTAGGTACCAAAAGGCAAACCTGGTCTATTATCGGAGACGGTTCCCCACATCACATCACAACATACCACACTCACTGACGGTCCTGTATCAACATATTGGTCAGCCTACCCTATGAGTCCCCATTCACCATTATAGCCTTCCGTACATGTTCTCTGATTTCGTACTTTTCGTCCGTTTTAAGTCGTATTCATCATGTATGCAAATGCAGTTATTAGCCACGTCGGGCTTCCATATGTTATGAGAACTGTTGACCAAAGGAACACGCAACCGGTTCTTCCTCATCCAGCTGATGAACCCCAATGAAAAGAAAATGCTTAAGTGGATTGCTTTTTTCTTGAGTAACTGGATCCAGTCGTTATAATCATGCGATGCATGCGATGTGCGTTTCTGTCTTTGTTAAAATGAAGACGACGTACTGTCAAAGTGCACTCATTTCCAAATTGAGTTTGTCTGCGCCTACATGATGCCTCCCAAGAAGGGCGAAGGCTGTATTGGATTGTTGCAATAAGGTACGTCAAGAAACTTCACTTCTATATCTCGAAAATTATCCCAGCTGAAAGATGGGGTGGTTTCGTTCAACATTCACACTTTATGGTAATCACAAGCGGTAGATTCATCCAGGATTCAGTCGAGTCTTCCGTTAATACCAGATTGATTTGGAAACTAGTGTACTTCGCGAATGGCTTACAATTTGGGTTCAGTTAGACATGAGTTGGACGGAAGCTCGGTTACTCAGGCTACCCGGTGAGCCCGAAGAAGTGCGAAAGCACTTGTGGGCCTTCCAAGAAATCCCAACAACCGTATGGGTACTGTGCTCTCTCAGCAAAGAAGACTACTCACATTTGCCTCCTTGACAATTCTGACATCGTCCACAATGACGGATTCGGAACCAGAGTGAATGGGAGTGTGAAAGCTACAAGTGAAGTTCTTCAAGTTTCGGTCCTCGTCCAGTTTCTCCGAAGTGTTTTGGGACGTTTTTTATGTAGACAGGGATAGATCAGAAAATATTTTTGGGAAATCAAACAAATTGCGTGGTCAACATATCTTATAGAAACTCGTGAACCACTTAGGCCTCATAGCAGACTTTAGAAAATTAATTAATGAAAGACTATGTCGACACAACCGGATTTGTGTTCGTTTTCAGCCTTGTGAGCATTCGGCTGTTTTCAGTCAAATCCAGAGGACCGTGTGAAGCAGTGATTCTGAAGGACAATGGCTTTTTTGCCCTGAACCACCGTCTCATTTTCATATTCCCCGCTTTTTGTTGTCCATGGTCAAATTGTCAGCTGTGTGAGGTTGTAGAATTCATAATTTAAAGGGGACAATTTTGTTTTCTGTTGGTTTTATTCTCTCAAGTTCAACCAGGTTTCCGTTCTGGCTCTTCTCTTCAGGTCAGATTGTCGATGGAATGTTAGTGCTGAAGAAGATTGAAAACGTCCCCACCGGTGCGAACAACCGTCCCAAGGCTCCCGTACTGATCACTCAGTGTGGCGAAATGTAACCTCGACCTTCCCTGTTGTAAATAAAACGTATTTGACTGTGTGTTTGTACATGCCTGTTAAGGCTATTTTGTATTTTAAAAATGCTGCGATTGATTTGTCTTGTTTTTTTCCAGCCTTCTCATGACATTACTGTGATTCCTACGCTTTCATATATCCTGCGTGTGACTATCATTCACGCATTCTCGTTATCCAGTGTGTGTGTGTTGTCTGCCTGTTTGATTATCTGTGTGTTCTGTCTTTTGGGCCGCCCGTATGTGACCGATTCTGATCATCCGACGGCTGGCACCTTTGAGAGTTGAGAGTCTTTCGAGATTACGTCATAGGCCGAGAAGCACCGTACAGTTATTTTTTCCCACTTGGGATCATCACAAGTGCGTACTTAACGAATTGGATATTCAAACCCGCGAATTGACGACTGGTAGTTAGAGTGTACCGTTGAGCTACAAGCGGCTGTTTGTTGTCCGATGTTTGTGTTACCACAGGATTATTTACCGGACCGTAAAATAGTGCAAATGAAATGGGAATCATCTCCATGGCTATCCAGCTTGACTGCGGGTATAAAGTGTTTAAAAACAGCTAATAACCTCAGGTTGATAACAATTTGTCAGTTTGTAATTGAGTTCCACAGACTTCGTTGTCCTTATTGAGTTGGTTGGGTGTATACAACATATGCTAGAGCACACTTCCAAGCAAATTACTGTCTCCCCAAGCCTCCGTAGTGAGAGCTTTGGAGCATAACTGTCTGACCTGAAAGCGCCTTAACTGGGCACTGTGCTGTCTTGATGCTTTCCAGGCTGTGGCTTGTATGCCGCGAATCACTGCTGGTGGTTGACATAGCGTCGCTTTTTGGCTAGCCTTCATTCTCTTGGTTTTTGCGAACTGCTGTGGATCTATCTTGTTCTGACGCGACATTCAAATGCAACGTTTCCTCAGAGTCAGCCCCCTTGTTCCCCATCGTCGTCCCTCTCCTAAGTGAGAAACTTTTCTTTTACACTCGCTTGATATCCGCAAAAGTTATAGGACGGTGTCCTGTTGCTGCTTTTGACTCATGGTTTAACTGCACCGAGTTCGATGCTTCCTACTTCCTTGGTCCCTATATCCGATATGGCTTATCATGGGCGCTGAACTACGGCGCACGTGCTCTGCGCAGGAGCGTCATGTTTCCGGGGGTTATGCCATAGTTTCTGACAACCGAGTGGGTTAGACAGCTAAGTCAACTGCTCAAAATAGGGTACTTCAAGCAATCATGTCCCCTCACTGGCGCAACTAGGAAGTGCCTTCTCCTTTGATACAGCCTTTAAGCTCACCCCTCATGACTCATCTGTCTTTCGCCTCACGTCCAGACATCAGGCCAGTATAACAAAAACCGGCCCCCTAATAAATTCGGAAGATCATTTCCGTGTCCTGACTCTAACATATAGGGTTTAACATACCCGTCTTGCTCATTCCTAGATTTCGCTTTCTGTCGATAAATGCTGGGTCTGGAAAGCACATGCAAGACCCCAGCTCGACCGTGCATGTAAAACTACTTTGGATGAACCCATATTCACTGCATTCCTCGGGCATCTGTTCCTTCTGATGCCCTTACGCTGGAGGACTAAGGCGCTCCCATCAAACAGTTTGATGTACGCTGTTAGGTTTGTCAATTTCTTCGTCCACATAGTGCTCAAGGCTCATAAGATTGGTAGAGTTCTGAGAGAACCGGTGTTAGGCAGGAATCCACGCGGATCCCACTATACCGCACGTCTTTAGGCGCTGCTATGGCCGAGAAGCCTAGCCCGCTCGAGGTTGGCCCAAAATTCGGGACGCTTGCCGGTCCGGCATCAAGACGAGATCTGATTGGTCAACAATCTGGACCCAACAGCCAATCATGACCCAGTATTGGCCGAATGCCGGTTGCCAATGGAGCTCCAGAACGCGTCAGAATTCCAGAAAGTTTATAG